CTGTGTCAGATTATGCAAAATCAATTTACACATAGGTGTCCCCCAGGAGCAATGGTATGGACAGGCCAAGAAAAGACAATCATTAAAGAACAATTTTATCACAATAAATTAGCAAGTTGCAAAGTGCTTGGTATTATGGGGTTATTCAGTAAGCTAAATCGGTTACTAACCTTTTTGGTTAATACTAGGGAAGCAGTACAGAAACTAGCTATCAAAGTGTGTGTGGGGGAAATCTGAGACTATGGCTGCACATGATTTTGTGAATGAAAGTGTAAAAAGACATAATGACCATTCTCTCTGTTTAACCCTGCAAAGTCAGCCCAGCCAGTCAGACAGACTGCTTGCCTAAGAATGGTAATAATAGGCTACCTTGGTTAATGTTTGCATACTTACATAGGTTCCCTGGCTGCAGAGACAAAGAATGCCTTTTAGAGAAGACCATTGGCCAGCCCCATAGCAATAACATCTTTGGAATTTACTAGTAAAGATGTTTTACATAATTGTCTACCAGTTACTCAACCCGGGCCATGAATTTTAGACCAAGGACAGCGGTCAGTTATTACTTTTAAACTGAGAAGTGAATGTTTTTACCAGTTATATTTAACAGCACTGACAGAAGTGCTGTTAAACAGCATGGCCTTAAACTACCTGAACTAATTAGATGTGCTTTGAGCAGAGGGTTTGACAAGATGACCTCTGCACATCCCTCCCAATCTAAACTACTCTGTGATTCTGTGAGCATGACAAGACCAAACTAGTACACTGCAATGGAATCCTTCCCTAGGACGAGTCCAATCAGTTTCCATCAGCACACCTTGAGAGCTCAGTTATGGCTCCAGGTCTCCCCCTCCTGAAAAATACAAATGGATCTTGCATTTGGCCTTCAAAATTCAGGGGAAGCTCTAAAGGAGCTGAATTTCTTCATACTTTTAACCTTCACCTGTGGACATGCTATACAACTTTACTGTTCTGACAAAAAAAAACAGTCACCAGTTTACTATCCCATGCTATCCTCTGCCACACGAAATTCCCAGCCATGGCTTTTAATAACTGATAAATAGAAAAACAAACCCAGAAAATCCACTAAAAGAATAGAATGATCCTCCAGAGCCAATGTCAGGGCTGGGAGAGAAGCCAGGCCCTTTATCTTGAGCCTGGAAAAGTCACGCAGGGCCAGATTTTATTACATGCCTGAGCAGCTTTGAGATACTGAAAGTGTGGAGGCTCTCAGGTGCTATAGAAATGGCCTCAAGCTCTAAAGTATGCTAGATCCTGCCCTGGTTGTTTTCCAAATAGTCCCTCTTTCCAGGCCCTTATAACAGAAACTGCTACACCCGTCTGAGTTGCAGCCAGACAGGCCAGCCCAGAATACTGACAACGCCCTTGGACAACAGGAGTCCCCCACTGCCAGAGTCATTAAAAAAGAATTCATAGCCTGTCGCCCCATTTGAGGCAAAAAGGTAGCACACAGGTAGCTGTCCTCTGCAGCTGCTCAGCCAGAGCTGCGGCGCAGCGCAGGGAAACAGGCCAGCCTGCATTTTCTTCCAGGTGTCGCCTAGCACTCAGGCTAACATCCACTGCACAAATCCTCTGCTCCCACTCACCGTACACAGCATCTCCAGAGAGGCAGGAGATCTTTATATGAATTGGACTAGGCCTACAAAGAAATAAGGCACATCAAGATAAAAAGAAAACCTTTACAGGCGCAGTTCAAAATAAACAAAAGAGCGGCAGCAGAGTCATTTCACACAAAAGAAGCATGAGACAGCCTCACTGGAAGCACTAACACAGAGCTCTGCGGAAGGCAACGCGCTCAGAACAAGATTTCTCCTACATCACTATGTCCTCAGAAAATGGTTAGTTTGGATTTGATTTCATATTATTTGTTTGCAGCTAAATTTCCTGCTGGAAGCCAAAATGGAGTCTGGCTCTTTGAGACACTTTCTGCCACAGCTATTATCTGTTCCAGTTTGCTCTGCAGCAGCATGCAAAATCCTAAAGGTGATTCTTGTGATCAAGTGTCTGATTTGTCATACACTGCATTAGACTTTGAGGCTTCACAGGGTAAATTAAACATAATGAAAATCAAGCCCAAGATCTCTATCCTGCAGCGGTTTCAACTCTGACTGTCCTTTCAGCCACAGTTCAGGAGCAGAGTCACCCTGATGGAAAAATGCAGCGTGCTTCAGGCAGGGCTGCTCAGTACCAAATGAGGGTCCCACTCAGCTTGCTGCCTCCGTGAGAGACCTTCCAGATGAGCTCACTCTTGGGTAACCTGCTGTCTACCTAGGTGGCACAGAATGGATTGTTTTCCCTTCCATGCCCTGATATTTTCATTGATTACTCCATCAATGGTAACAGTGTCAGACAAGTTGGGGACAACAGCGCTGGGTACTGCATCTAAGGGTCAAGCATGAAGATGACCTGGTGTCAGTCATCTTTAGGTTGTCTATCAGAGCACTCACCCGTCACAGAAACAGTTGAGAAGCAGTCAGCTCATCTAAGACAGTACTTGCCCTTTAGCCATGGCCATGTGCCTTTCCCTGAAGCTGTTAGGAGAACAAAACTTTGGAAGAACAGAATCACAGAGTAGCTGAAGTGGGAAAAGAGCTCTGGAGATGGTGTAGCCCAAATTCCTTGGCAAAACACAGGCAGCTGGACCAGGGAGCTCAGGGTCATGTCCAGCTGGATTCTGAATATCTTTAAGGATGGGGACTCCATAACCTCTCCTGAGAGCCTGTTTCAGTGTTCAACCACGCTTACAGTAAAGAAGTTTTTTTCTTATGTTCTCACCACCCTCTAGCATGGGAGACATTATTTCCTAGTACAGTCCCTCCATCTGGTATGTCCAATAAGGAAAGAATGATCCCAGTAACAGCTCCCCTTGGTATGCAGGTCATCTCCACTGGCCTGGAGAAGAGTGCCAGACTGTCTGGGTCACAACTCCACCAGCTGCAGACTGCAGGTGATCCCAAGGGTCTGGGGAAGGTCAGAGATGTGTGACAATTGCCAGCAGCTGTTGGTATTGACTTTAGAAAGAATGACCTGTGGTTAAAACCGGCTCTGGATGGTGGCAAGTCCTTCCTCAAGGAAGGGACTGCCCAGTGGCCCAGGGGACAAACATCACAGAGCAAGTACCACCTTTCAGGTTTACTAGCGGGAAAAAGGAATTCAGTAGCTAATGAAGTAAATCAGAGACATGCAATTTGTTGGGCCTATTCAAGATTATATAAAAAAAAAATAATTGCATTTTTGGATAACAAGTTCCCAAAAGCCTTTTCTCTGTCTTTACAGAAACAATTTATTTGCACCTGAGAAAAAGCCACCAGCATTGAATGGCAAACAAAATATTCTTCAAAGGAAGTGTCATTTAAGAATGAGTTCAATTAAAAATAAAAATTTATCCTAAAATAAAGCAGATTAACTGCCATTTGTTGTATTTGTTTCTGAATTATTCTAACCAGATGAATTCTGAAAAAAGTTCTCTTGGTATTTATAATGGATCAAAGACCCTCAGCAAGCTGAAATAATGATAGCTATGTTTTATAGAGGGATCGTGGTTCAACCACACATACAGAAAAACGTGAGTTATTCTTCTGTTCAGTTCTTCACTTCCAACCCTTCGAAAGAAACTCCAATCACACAGCTCCCCCACCCAGATACAGCCACACCAGCTCAACATATTCTTGGGTGATGGCACAGTTACCAGCTACTGAATGTTCGTAAATGCTTTAAGTGTCACATTCACAGCATGTGCTCTGTCAGAAACTCAGCACAAAGCAGGTTTCCCTAAGCCATAAAAATAAAAGAAGATCAGATCTGTTAAAATTATGTCCTTTAAGAAGACTGTCTCTAAGGCTCCCTTTATTGCATTTGAACCAGTAAAACATGACAAAAGGGCTACTGCTCTTCTAAGTAAACAGCCACCTTCCCATCCATAGCCAACCTGGCATATCCTGTAATACTGCAATAAAGCTTAGAGAGTCTCAAATTCTAAGACCATCCCTTCAGCTCTTAGGTATTATAGACCAGGATCAATGAACCCCAGCATGTTTCACTCATCAAGAGCTTGCTCTTGAAGCTGAGAATATGGTGCAATTTGTACCAAGTTTCCCATCCTGATGGGAAAGGAACAAGAAGTTATCTAGTAAGTGTCTTCAATCTGCGAGAACCATCAGGAGTTGTCAAAGTTGGAAGTCAAAGCAAACAGCAGTTGTATGCCACTGCAAACCTCCCACCCTATCAGATTCTCAAAACTAATGCTGCTCTTCGCTATATTTCTGCAAGAAGGCTGACAAGCTCAGAAAATAGACCCATGATGCCAACAATACCTGACAATGTGCCTTTTCACTCTACTTTTCCACAGGACAAAGGTCTGGCTATGGTGTAGCGAGAAAGCAGGCAAAACCTGCTCAGCCCCTTGCTCACAGCCACATCACCCTGTACTTAAAGGGGAGCATTTAATGCCAACTTTCTGATGCGGGGGAGGGGGGAAAGCCCAAAACTCACCCAATGCTGCAGAGGCCTACACTAAATGGCTGTAATCTCCTCAAACTTTGCAAGACAATTGTGGAGCATCTCTGCATCTTCAAGGCAACACTGACACAGTGCCTTGTCCTCCAGATCCTCCCTACTGAGCTGGAGCAGAGCACCACCAGCAGCCAAGAGCTCAAGGCTCTTTTACAATACCATTCACCCCTCTAGTGGCTGGCACGGGCCCTCGTGTTGCCTGTACACAGAATTTGGTAGCCTCTGGCCAGGAAGGTAAATTCTGCCCAAGCCCGGGTGGCATTTTGCTCTTCTAACAGTTGTTATGCTGTTCTAACAAGTCAGTAGAATCAGGTGGTTAAGACTACATAAAAACCAGTACGTGGTGTAACACGTTCTAAAACAGTCGTCCCCATCTTGCAGATGCTTACCGTAACACAGGACATGAACAAGTACAGGAAACACATTTTTAACAGGTTTTATTAAGTTTACATATAAATTACATTCCTGTGTGTCATGCATAATTGTATAGTTAGATACATCCCATTCTGCCTCGACTGAAAATGTTAATTCCTATGAAAACATGGCTGAGGGATGATTAAGCTTGTGGATTCATAAATAGTTGAGACTGCAGCTTAAAAGAAATACAAATCTGCTAGGCTTCCTAAACCAAATAAAACATTTTGGCTGCCTACATTGCTTCAGGTTTCCATAATTTCTCCTCAGGAAAAGCCAGAAAATGCTGACATGAGTGTAGTTTTGCCATGAGTAAGGGATTCAGACCCATCACATCCATCCTGCTCCAACATTCCCAGGAGATGAGGGATGTTATTTCAAGTGCTCTTCTTGGCAGCCCCCATTTATACTGCTTTGCATCGCCAAGAGGCCTCAGAGCATGTAAAACACACTGCTTCCAGGAGAAACCAGATCAGAAGACTTGTTTCAGCTGCTATCAGGAAAAGTCCACAGGGCAGTCCAAAGTAAAGGCTCCTAAAGCACAGACCATGCAGATGTCAGGTCCTGTTCAGCCCCACTCCTGGCTGCACTGTGCTGGCACTCAGCATTAAGGTGGATCAGGTACTGCATCTCTCGAGTAGATACTCAGAACTGGTAGCTCCTTAAGCAAGTGACGAGTTCACTTTTTCAACCTTGTGTACGCCACTTTGAAGAACGGTATTTACTGCAGCCCTTGATACAGAGTAAAATGCTTAAGTCTTTCTGGTTTTGTACCCAAAATAAGCACAACTGGAAAGTTCACAGATGTAAAATTAATTTTTTGGACCTCTACTTATCTGTTTTGGGGAACTAGTGAGACAGCTAGTATTTGCAAGCCTAAAAATATTAGGTTTCCAAGTTACCATGAAATCCAGCAGGATAGGGAAACCATTATGCCACTTGAAAACCCAAGCCTAAAGTGCTTTGGGAACTGTAAACTCATGGCATCTTGTAATGATGCTTTTCTTCACAAGGATCAAATTTTATTCATTGTCCTGGTAAGACAATTGTTACCGGCAAGAAAAAAAATCACATATACTTGTCATACATTACTTTAAACTTCCTCCACAAGCAATATACTTCTAAGCCATGTTCTGCTTACGGGGCTAAAATGAGATTTGTTGGACTCAGACCTACAGAACCAGCCTGACACTTTTTTACTCCCTATGTAGAAATTAAGACACCAAGTTTTGTTTCTGAAGCTCACAGCATTCCACAAGAAAAGTTCCCTGAGAAAAATTTAAATGCCAGGTTTCCTGATACATGCAAGTATAGAACACACAACAGCTGCAGACTCTTGTCTTTCATGCAGACCTTCTCTGGGCATCCAAATATTCCAGTACCTCCAGTGAGGCTCTAGAAAAGCATGGTTCTCTGTACTGGCAAGCAGCTAGATCATAGGATGTGTACTCAAAATACTTCTGTTAACTCAATGGATTGCTGCTCTGTTTGGCAGCATTTGCAGCAAGCTGCATAGTGCAGAGGGGGGTCCCCTGAACTACCGTTGACTGTGTCAACCGACTTGTACTCAATTTGAACAACACTTTAATCCTAAGACTGAGGGCCCATTTTCCCCAGATCTTCTAACTATGAGCATGCCAAAAGCCTGCTATTAGCTTTTTCTAGCCTGGCATAAGACGCTTGCTTGCCACACTGGACCAGCTCTGAGTTTTGGCAGTGTGGCTGATATCTCCTTCGCTGAGTTCTTGCTCTTCTGACCATAGAGGGAAAAGAAGAGCAGTTGAGTGGCTCATTATCTAGCAACTAAGACCACATCATTTGCTGTTGTCAGGATCAGCATTCACATAAAGTGTTGGAAATTCTGCAGACACACCAAGGAAAGCATCCTCATCAGGAACAAGCACTTTCTGCTGCTGGAGGGTAGAAAGTGTTTGAGATTCACCTGGCAGACTGAAACATGGGCTCCTTGAAAACATGAAGTCAGAGAGAATATGAAGTTTGTGTGATTGAGATCAAAGGAGTTAGCTGTAGTCTGACAACGAGACACAGGCAATTCTTACTTCCTGACAGAAGAGAGAGATCTTTACATAAGATTACCGGGTCAGTCAGAAGTTCTGTCCTGCTCTGAAGGAGATAGTATTTCCATCGTAACACAGAAGCTTTTTTTTTTTTTTTTTTTTTTTACGATGCACATATTAAATTATAATAGAGACTTGAGAACATCAATCACAAGAATAAGCAGTTTGAGAGGGGTTTTTTTTGGGCAATGGTTACACTGAGATTGTTACCATACTCCATCCTGCACAAAAAGACAAGGATTTATTCAGAACAATACAGTGTGGAAAGTTAAAAATGGAAATTAATTCAGCCAAATACTCTGATATAACAACAGATGGGTATGCACATAAAGTGGGTTTTGGTCTTCAGTCCAGCAGTCGCCCTCACAGCAAACACTGTAGTAGGGGCTGTTCATATGAAGCGATGAGTGGGTGGGTGTACATACACTTGCTCAAAGGCGGACAGAAACTGGTGTTTTCCACTGATTCCTTTTTCAGGACAACATAGCAAGGAAAAATTCTCCATTCACCTAAGTAACAGTCCGACATGATATTAGGCACCAGGATTTCTCTAAGCCATCTTCCGTTCTTCATTAAGAGTACGCTCCCTGGAATGATGCAGGAAAAAGCTCAAGAAGAATTCAGAAGCACAGGAGCCTTCGAGTCAGGGGCTGAATTGTAGCTGGTCTACAGACAGATGGGGCCTCGGGAGCACACAGAAAATGGGTGGGAAGCATTTTAGTTATAACTTGTCTTGGATGCTGGTAAGTGATTGTTTGGGCTCCGATGCTTTGCTGGGGTAGGAAAGTAGGGGCCAGGACATTTGGCCACAGCGAAAAAAGCATCAGTATATTGCATATAGAAGGCTGTTGTCCCTTTGACAGAGTACTTCCTGGACAGACAGCTGTCATGTGGGTCAAGTCTGTTCCTGTCTGGCTGCAGGTCAAACCGATTTCAAGTCCTAGGCTACTCTGAGCTTGCTGGCACTTGATAGGTGACCACAAGCTAGCCCAGCAGCTGTTTAGAGGGTAACCACAGAGCAGAATGTGTCAGAGTAGCTGCCGTGCACAGCCCATAAAACTTAACCTGCTGCAGGTTTCAGATGCCTGTTTTGGAGTTGATCCAGTTTCGATAGTAAGTCACTCGCGTGTACACCCCTGGTTTATTCGGCTTGCCACAGTCATCTCCCCAGCTCACTATTCCCACAAGATACCAGATTCCTCTGGAATTTGCATGCACCAGTGGCCCACCAGAGTCACCCTAAGGAGAAAAATGTCAGCAGGCAGGAACAAGGTAAACAGTTTTCACCTCACTGATGCAGCAAGGCTCAGATTGTTCTGTTACAACTAACAGATATTTGTCTCCAGACCACAGCTATAACTCTACCTCCACACGGTTTACAGACAAGACAGAAGCTGCCAGCCTCTGTCTAATTCAGTCTCTCCTGCTCCACACCCTCACATCTGTACTCTCTCACATGTGCATTATATATAAACGCCAAGGCACCAGAGTGCAGACTTCAGCCCATGAGCCATGAAGCTCTTAATTGACATCTGTCAAGATAACGAACCCCATAAATTTAACCAAGATTCCCCAAAGTATTTTTGATTTCCAGGAAACATCACCTCCCACTCCACGTATTTCCTTTTTACTATTACCTATGAAAAGACTTACCTGGCAGGCATCCACCTGCCCCTCCAAGTATCCAGCACACAACATTCCAGCTGTTATCGCTCCACCGTACACTTGTCTTCTATTACAAGTCGTAGTACTGATAATTTTCACTTCTGCTTGTCGAAGCTGATTAACACTATACCCTAGAAGAAGTGGCATTAGAATTTGCAGACAGTGTATGCAAGCTAAAATACTCAAGGCTTAGGAGGAGCCAGATTTTCCTACAGTTTTTCTGCCATTACAGACAATGCAGGGACCTACCCAGACAATGTCTGAGGAAGAAGAAAGTCCGTCCGTCCCCCCCCACCCCAACATCCTTCACTTGTTGCCAAACATAACCCTTGTTCAACTTTCATCCTCATCGGATGCTCTTTAGAATAATGGACAAAGATTTTTATACATGCTTCAGAGTTGAATTCAACTGCAGCCTTCTCAGTTACATCCGTGACAGGGCACAGGAAGGCAAGAGACACTCACCATCATTCTCCAGAGCTCCCCAACCTGTGACAAAGCAGGAAGCGTTCTCTGGGAAAACATGAGATGCTTCAGGAAGACAGACACTGTGCACATCACTCGTGAACTCAATAGCAGAGGCAAGTTCCACAACAGCCACATCGTATTCATGGTCAAGGACGAAATCACTGTATCTTTCATGAACTATAATTCTTCGGACAAATTTTTTCTGTTTTGGAGGTCTCAGCAGGATTCCAAAGCTGGCAGTCCACCTCCGAGGATCTCTTACTCTACAAAATATTCGAGGTTATGTCACAGCCACACAAAATGATCCCCAAAGGAGCTTAGCTCTCCATTTAGGCATCAAAACGCAATGTGGCCAAGCTTGCCTAAGGGACAGAGAAGTGCCAGACTTTCAGCAGATACAGACGTTAGTGGGCCATGAAAGCTCAGAGCACCCAAGTGTCCTAAGGCCTGTAGGATCAGAAAGGTGCTGCTGACTTACCCTCTAAAGCAGTGGGCTGCAGTCACTAGCCACGTATTGCTGATCACTGATGCACCACAGCGATGGGTCCCATCGAGCTGAATACTAGCCTGCCACGGCCATTCCCCATCCTGTGCGCGCTGCCCGCCAAGTATTCTCTCCACGCCCGTGAAGGAGAACGCCTGTCTTCGTATTCCACAGCCTGTCAAAGAAAAGGCAGCTCTGCTTTAGCTGACTGAGGGAAATCAGGGTGTCACTTTGGGAAAGGCCCTCATGGCTGCAGGCAAGAGGCGTGACAGGGCAGGGGTGTCAAGAGACAGCCTTCACCTAAAGCAGTGCCTCCAGCAGCAGGGAAACCAACTGTCATGGTCACAGGCGTCTCTGGACAGATGTAGGGTAAACAGAGTAGTTTAGCAGAAGAATCACTACTTCTTCATTAAGCCAGTTTTCAGGCACACAAGCTCATGTGTACACCTGTGGGAACTGCAGGCTGTGTGTCTGAGACACCCTTTATTCCCCCCAGTGGTAACTGTTACCTAGTTAAAAAAAACATTGCCTCTACAAAACCTGCTTTGTTTGATATTTGAGTAGAGGTGTACAGAAGGAAAGGTAACATATGTAGCCATTAGTGTGTCTGTGCACACAGTTACACACACAGATAATTAGACACAAAGAGCTGCACTGATAATTAACTTAAGCATTTACATTCATACATCTTTCATAATAACGGCATGTAAGTTTCATCCAAACCCTAAACCTCTCTTGGTACTGTATGAAAAAAAGAAAATCCTTAGTTTGTGTTTTTAAAAAGACATCTTAAAAATTGAGTACGAAAATACTGAGGAACTCCCACATAAAAAACTACTACGCCAAGGCAGCTGTAAACTTTAATACACACATCACCACCAAAATATGCACAAGACAGACACTGCACATCACTTGTGAGCTCAATGGAGGCAATCTTCGCGTTATTTGTAACATCCCACCTGTATAGCAAAGGCAATACCAACATAGTCAGTGTAGTTTTAAGTGTCATAAAATTGCTGAAGACTGGTTGGCAAAAAAACCCACAAAACCAAACAAACAACAACAACAAAAAAAAAACACGCACAAACTAATGAAATAAAGAAAGGATTCTGTCAGATCACCTCCAGGTCAGCCTTGATAACAGCAGCAAAAAAATAGCATCCTCTTCCTCCAACAGTTTACTTACAGCCACCATGCCAACAGCACGTTATGTATTACACTCAGCTGAAAAAAGTTAGATCCAAACCAGTTAATTCTCAGAGTCCATTTAAAGATGGAAAGCTAATGTGCAAATGCTCTGAGCCCATGCAGGGGACTGATGTCCCCTTGGAAGGGACTTACGCTGTCTCCCTGTTTCCAGAGGAGCTAGAAGACCTCAGAGGGGAGCACAGAACAGGAGAGGGACTCAGAACCTGCCCCTCTCCAGGGCTGTGCTCTCACTGTGGACAGCTCCTCCTCCCCTCCCACCCTCTGGCCTTTCCCTGTATGTTGCAGACTTCAGCTCAAATCTGACTGACGTCTATTGCCAAACTTTTCTGCAGGGAGGAGGGGGCAGGAGGGAAAATGTTTTCAGAAGGATTCCAGCAAGGATCTTGGCCCGCAACAACTGCAGTCTTTGTGCAAAGCTCATTAACAGCAGCTCATCTACATGCCCCTACTTCTCATAACCAACATTAAAGCAAGTGCTTCCCACCACCAAGTCAGAATGCCTGATTCTGCAAACACTACAGAGCCAGCCTGACTGCAAGAAAATGACCTGAATTGTTCCATGCACTATCTACCGCTCTAGTACCTTTAACAAGTTATTTTTTTTCAACCTGCATCTCAAAAGCATAAGAATCTTGCAAACAGAACCTATAGCACCATGTTCCCAGACCTTTTCTATAAAGCATTTGTACTTACAGTTGTTTAAAAGGTTATCTCCCTTTTCCTTATTCAACTCTGAAATGAAAAGCAAACACCACAGTGAGTATATCTCACACCGCTACATGATCTAACACAGACTCCCTCCCTGTACCCAGAAAACACAAATTAAATGGTTTGCACTGCTGCATGGAGTAACAGTACAGTAAAAGGAGTAATTTGCTCTGTTGGAAAAGTTCAAATTAAGCCTCTGTTCCTCACTGAAAGTGTAAGGCCAAAGGATACATCTTTCTTGCCTTAGCTCAAAGCTAACAAAAGCAGCAGTTGACTGCAAATAGGTCCAAGTAACATCTACATGCACTCATAGCTGTGCACAATATAAATGCCCACATGCATCTTTTCAGGTTCAGTATGGCAAAGTGGTCAAAACAGCCTTCACAGATTTGCAGTGCTGAGATTGACTGGAGCTAAACTGAAACGTTACTGGTTTATTTCCTACAAAAAACCCTCGGAGAGATTCTGATGGTAACCAGTGACAGATTCGTGGGAGAGGGTTACTGCCCAGGGAACCTTGGGGTTTTGTTATGAACACTTGCTACAGCAATCTGACAAATAAGCAAAGGAAATGGCAGAGGGTAGAGAAGGGAACCATCTCATTCCTGCATTTTTTTAGTAGCTTGAGGACTCTGCATTTCAGAACCTGGCAATACAGGTTCTTGTCTAATTCAGAGTGTCCCTTAAAGTAATCTCTGAAACCATGGTCACAAAGTTAGGTCTTTTTTTGATGAACCAGGGGACAGGACTAGCTCATTCAACAGAGCTAGGTCACAGAGAGAGCTTCTAATGCACAGAGGAGAGCTCATGCACATCAATCAGTGCCAGTATGCTTTAGTTCTTTGCATGCTACTTCTTCCAAGTTCCCAGGCTGTCAGCCATAACAAACAACTTTGAGAAGGCAAAAGAAGACAACAAGAGTAGCCCATATTTGCATACTAAGGTAAAATCCATTACACTAAGAACTGCAAAGTATGAGGAACAAATTCCAAGCTAAACACACAAACCTAAGGCACTTGCCTGTGAGTCTGAGGGTAGACTGGTCAACATTCAAGAATGTGGAGCTGGTTTTCAGCCTTCTGCGTAACACACGGTTGATGTGACTCCAGCTCATTGCCTTACTGTCAGCCGTGGCAAATTTAAATACCAGAACAACAGATGCAAGCACTCCACCAGGATCTGGGCTGCAAACCAACAAAAACAAAGTGGTATCATTCTCTCTTTGGCCACTAATCCTCTTTCTTCTGCTTTGCACTGTGTGCCTTCTTTATATGAGAACAGGTCTGGTCTGCACGTACATACAGAAAAAATAGCATAGCTGTACACAAGTAAAGGAAGATGATGACATGGCAGCAGGAAGCAAAAGGCTTGGTTCTCACTATAACAATGATCAGAGGGAGTTTTCTGGGAACTGCTGTAAGTAGTACAGCTGAGAAGGAGAGGAGGGATCACTCCATTTGGCCTCCACACAGCTCGCAGTCAGTAGGACACAGATGGCAGAAGTAAGAATACAGCAAATTAAAACCCTTCAACAGATATCCAACAGGCCATTCCTAACAGCCATTGAAAAGACCCAGTTTAGATCCACAGAAGTTAAAAAGACCTTCTGGCATTTATTTCCATTTAAGTCACTTGTCCATTTATTGGCCAGTTAGCTTCATTGTATCTAGAGACAAAAATCTCGAAATATTGTTTGAGTTATCCAAGTAAGGCATGATCACTTACTGTCTATAAAATATTGGGCCCAATACCTTAGACTAACAGTCTAAGCAAAAACTAGCTGAAGTCTAGAGGGAAAGGCTGGTCCAGTCCCTAGTTGCACAACAGGGTATCTGTAGTGAAAACACACTTGGAAGAGATACACTGGCCAACCTAAAAGGTGTAAAGAGGTTGCTTGAAGTCTAGATCCCAAGTTTTGTAATTTCAGTTGAGATACAGTATGAGAGGCTTGTGGTAGGAATCAGCAGCAGAAAACAATGTAGAACAGTTTAAGGAAATGACAAATTCCATCTAGAGACAGGTAAAGGCAAGAAAGCCCAGAAGTGCTGTGGAAAAGGACATTTGTGGGAAGTCTGGCATTCTTTGCTGTCTAGGGAAAAATATTCCACAGCAGAATTAAGCCTTATAGAAATACAATTCCAAACCAAAGTAATGTGAAGGAGGGGGAAGCAATGGCTTTTATCACTGAGAGTGATACATAACTACTGCAGAGAAAAGAAAGACTTAAAAGCTCTCATACAGGACCTTTATACCTGTATTTCCCACTTGCCTCCTTCCCTGAACTCCATATCAACATATCTCACAGTGGAATCATTTATTCCTTCAGACCTTTTCAGGGAACGAACAGTCATCTCCTGCTATACACTATGCAAAGGGGTAAACGCCAGCCTGAGCTTCCACAGGAAGCATTAAGTGGAATAAGAGCTGACTCTGCATCTCTCAAGCCCTTAACTAGTAGTGAAGACTGGGATCACCTAGTAATTCAGTTACTGCATCAGTCACAAACAGCTGGTGTTTGGGTAATCAATCTGCAGAAGTATAAGGCTAAATTTCTCTTCCTTGCTGACCTCTGAAGGTGACCTAGCCCTCAGTGTTGTGAGCACCAGAGAACAACAACCAGCCAAGTCTTAGTCATCCTGCTGGTATAATCCAAGCATAAACAACCAGGTCATAGGTGCTCCATATGGTCAAAGGGTAGAAAGAAAGGATATTTATCACATCCCTGCTTATTCCTGACTTTCACATTACTTACCTTAGGCTCACAACATGGGACCTGATGTACCTTTTACTTAGAAAGGACCCCTTGAATACTGCAGATATCTGTTAAAGGAAAAGAGTGTGTTAAAATACATCTGTAACGTGTACATGCTCTCAAGACACAACAGTCTTATGAGCCTCTGAAACACAAGAAAATGCCTTCAGATCTCCACCTCTACACCAAAGCTACTGCTAAATTTCCATCAGAGGATGCAGAACCAAAACAAACAGCCGAGGTGGCCAATTTTACTGTCCCTTCTGCTCAGCGGGTGCCTGTTCCACCACAGGGCTGCTGGAACAGACAGCACCTGTGCTTACCATCTGCTTGCACACAGTCAGTGATGCATCTCTAGCCCACTATAGCAAGGTTTGAAAGGTAAGGCCAGCCACATAAGGATGAGGCATAATCATCCCTAACTCTTTAATTCCAGTCACATAATCGCAAGACTCTTCACCATAGGTCATGCAGAAACAGTGAAACATCTTAGCTTACCATGGTTTCAATCTCTTGGCTCAGGTGCCTGAACTCTTCTGTGGTTTGCCTTTCATACTGAGACTTATATTTGACATTGGTGATTAGGAAAGATGCATTGTAGTATCGGTCCTGATCTACAGAGAAGAGGAAAGGTAGATGATCACTTTCAGTACAATTCAAAAAAACATGCACAGTACTTCACATGGCATGGCACAGGCAAGGCTCTCAGGTGCTGGCTATGACCCTGTCAGCTGTGGAATTACAGCTTTAGCAGCACGTTGGATAACAAGGGCTCTGGATCATCTTGTTGCTACTTGGACCACCTAGGGGATCTTTTTTATTTTGAGTACCATACCAAGTAGCTCTAAATTACACCCACTACAACATTTCTCTGGGGACCACCTTCTCAGCCTGAGGTGAGCACAGCATGAGACACCAGCCCACATACATCCCTTCTGACTCAGTAGACACAGTCACTTTGACATGCCCATGCCCCTGCCCCTCTGAGAGGCAGGTGGACCAGAGCTGTCTGCATCCATTCAGCACTCAGCTTAAGCTTAAAATGTGGCTCTCGGGTGAATGGCAGAGGGGGGGGCCCATAATGCAGAGTGAGCAAAAAGTAAAGCTAAGCTGTAGCTCTGCCATTTCAGTGTCCCAGTGCAAGCCACAGCCTCGCTGACTCTTGGTGAGCTGAGACAGCAGCACAATTAGTTCCATCCCAGCAGGAAGGCATTTCAAAATCCCTCACACTGGTATCTCAGAGACCAGGAATGTAATGGCTTGGCTTCATTCATCTGCTATTGAAACTGGGACCTTGGCAGCAAGGACTGACTCATGGGCTCCAGAAAGCCTAAATCTCTGCCCTCTCTCTTTCTGGAATATCCTCAGCTAAAGGTGCCAGGTTCAGTTTCTGCAAAAACCCTACTCAAGATCGAGCTTACTAGGCATAGCCTGAGTACTAGACACACCCCTGGCTTACACAGAAGACTCCTGGCCTTTGGTTAACCATGGATACCAGTGGAGGCACCAGGGCAAGACAAGAAACAGAGGGACAAAATTTAAATCCCTGCTTCAAGTAAATTATATTTGAAGTATTCTTGCAGGTTTTTTTAATCAGTTCAAATCCTGGATAGGGTCTAGTATGTTTTCTTATGCAGATTCTATACAGGGGATGAATTTTATACCTAAATCCAAGACCATAGTAGCAGGTGAAACACAATGGATTCCTGAAGACTTATGACAACAAAAACAGTGGCGCACTTACCGTGGCACAAAAAAAGTGTGATCAAGCCAATGATGAGGGCTAAGCCTACTATCACCGACACAACAATGATTGCTATCTTCCACGGCTCTATATGCTTCTTTCCTCTGTCCATCTAGATCACTATCTGCATGGAAGAAAACAATACAGAGAAATTCAACTCCATTACAATAAGAATAGTGCATCCTGAGCCAAATTATATCTGACACATCTTAGCTCAGCTGACAAACTTCATAGAATGAGGTAGGTTGGGAAGGACCTCTGGATCCTGCAGGTCTGACCTTCTGCTTAACACAGGTCCCACTACAGAAAGTTGCTCCAGGCTTTGTCCAGACAAGTTTTTAGTATCTCCAAGGACAGGGATCCCTCAGTCTCTCATGAGTCCTGATCCAGTCTCTGACCACCTTCATGGCAAAAGCTTTTTCTTTATATTTAGTCAGAATTTCCTATGTTCTAACTTGCCTCTGTTGTCTCACATGCACCCCTGAGAAAATCTAAAGCTGTGCAGGTATTGCTAGTAGAGACAATTTCCCATCAAGAAATATTACACAGATTTCAAGTGCAGTTGCCTACACAGGTGCTTAAACTGAACATAAATGTAATGATTCACAACTGATGAAATAACTTCTGCACCAAGGATACTCGAGGCTACCAGAGATGCCATCTAACAGAGCTTTGAGTTATTTTTAGTTGGTATAAGTGGTAATGTTTATTGATCCCCTACAGGGTTTGGGTTTTATTGCACCAAAACCACACATACATTGTAAGACACTACACCCTGTCTCCTACCAAAGAGTCTGTCAGAGGGGAGAGACATAGCTACTCACGTGTAAATGTTACAGAATAATGAGACCCAGACTCGGTGACTTGCTGAAAGTCAACAGCACACCTGTAAAAGGATTGAGAACTTGACTCATGGACAGAGGCATATAAGGCTTTCTCCTCTACTTATGTCCTCCTGTGCAGCATTAAGTAAAAGAACATTAGGAAAAGTGCATTTTTGTGCATGTCCTCGGTAGCTTTGAGTAGGATGGTGCAAAAGCCTAAGCACAATCACTTCAGATCCGTAGTAATTCCACAGCACACTATGTAGTAATTGTTGTCAGGCCACACACTGAGTCTCTACATCATGGTCGGCAGTAGTACAGGGTATCAGAAAATCACATGGGATAATCTCTCAAATGTGCCTGGAATGACAAACAGTAGCAGCCAGCTCTGGGGAGCAGGCACTCAGCTGGCTAGTCACCATGCTGTTTTACACCTGCCAGCCCATGTTTGTATTGCTGTGAACCAGATATATTAAATGCTGGTTTCCCCTTTTCAGGCCTGTAGCACAGCCATTTCTGAACCACCTATGAGAAAATATGGCCAGGAAGGAGCAGAAAGGCAGGCAGAGAGAGTAAGTCTTTGCAGGTTTTCTGACTACAGGGTAACAAAGAAGAAATCAGCAAAAGCAGAGCAGGATACCAGCAGAGGCTCCATCTTAGGAAGTGAGCTGAGCAGCTGAACAGTGAAGGCAAGGGTATGATGCACAGATCCACGACAGCAAAGGACATGAAGTTGTGGGAGAGCAGAATGAGGCTATACGTTTTGCCCTGAGGGCAAGAAAACCGAGCAAAGCTATAAGAGACGGTAATCAAGGCAAACTGGGGGGGGAGGACAGCAAGAAGAAAAAAAAAGATAGGGCCACAGAGGAAGCAGCTGAGAGGTCTGCACGCGGTTAGGGTGTGCTCAGCAAGTGACAGGGAAGTTGGAAACAACTCAGAGTTTAACCTCACATAAAAGCTCGGTTTTGGCTAGCGAGAGTGCTAGCAGGTATCCCAGTCCATTGCTTAAGAAGAGAAGCAGAGAAGTTTTTACCTACTCAAGCAGGTGGCATGGTGGAAAGGAGTTAAGCAGGATAGTTTCAGCCAGCACCACAACTGCAGGTGGTCACAAGCAGCAGCTTAGTGTTATCAAAATACACAGGACAGGTCACCAGAATCAAGCCTTCTGCTTCAGAGTCATGTACTCTGGAGAAGCCTAGTCCCTCTCCTCCCATTCTGCTTGCTTTATTGGGGCAAAGTCACGTTTTGGCAATGCACAGTACAAGTTTTCCCCAGATCTAGCTCTCTCCCCACTAGACTAGCTCAGTTCCCTGAAGGCAAGGTTCTGCAAAACAGACTGTAGGGCAGTCAATAAGAGTTTGAGAGCCCGGGATGGCCCAGATTACTTAATGCAACTTGCAGTTTCCAAAGTAAGTACATAATATACACACACCAGAGCTCAACTGGTTCCACAGAGGCCTTGACTTCTTGCCATCTAGACCTTTGCTGTATACACTATCCATTACCGCTGAGGGTTTAACAAACACAGAGATTTGGATAAAGACCCAAGACCAGTGAGACTGTCCTGCCTGTGTTTCTTTAACATGTTGCAGCCTCCCATGGAGCATTCCCATCCTTATCTCAGCTCACAGTCTTTTGAAGTCTCAGCTCACGGAATTGCAGCATACCTCATGGGCAGCCAACTGCTAACCACCACAGCCCACTAAGACAATACGCCTCTGCTCCTCCTTAGCTAGCCACCTCTCATGTTTTAAAGATTCTGCTTTAGCATCTGACTGCTGCCCTCACTGGAGAGCCTTTGCTCTCCAGCCTGAGCCCCTGCCAGTAGTCTTGATCAGACTGGTTCCCTGTGCTTCAGCTGTCCCCACCCCAGTGCACTTCCACCTGAACAGCAATCAGAGCAACATCCCTGCTTTGCTCGACACAGAGAACATGCAGCACAGCTCTGACAGCATATGGCTAACTCCACAGATATTGAGGCAACAGTATTCTTGTTTCATAACTGCTGGCTTTCTTCATCTCTATACAGACAGATTTCCTCAAGACATGGCCTTATGCCTAAGCTACAAAAGCTTAAGACTCACACTTGAGAAACGAGCATCTTGCTGCCTGTGGAACTTGTGCTCTGACGGGCAGGACTGTCCTCCATTTCAGTCTGTCTCCTTTGTTTCCTTTTCATGCAAATACCAGCTACATTGACAAACAGTAGCAGCACAGTGTTTCAGAACTGCTTGCTCTCCACAGATCACAGAGATATGCAAAGCAAAACAGATACTTTAGGGACTGCTGCAGCACTGGGGGCAATGGCAACATGGGAGATGAGGAATAAAAACCTCCTCCACTTCTGATACTGATTTCACTTTAAAATTTTTTAAGAAAAGAGTTTAAAGGAAGCACTTGCATATATTTCTACATTCATATAGGTAATTAATTTGTAGATAAGATATACAAATTATTGTGGAAATACTTCTTCAAACCCCAGACAGTTTCCTCCCTTTAGTGGGCTGCTCTTGACTTCCATCTTCCTAAGTACCAGAACAGGAGAAATCTCTTGTACAACGAAAGCATCAAGCCTCATCGCCTCCCGCAGTGTACAACTGCCATTATATATCCTTCAACTGCGACGCATGAGTGCAGGATGCAGCTCAGCAGCCCACATTTTTTGTTGTTTTTGTCTGTTTTATCAGCAGACATGCTAGTCACCAGTTGAGCAGAAGGGCTGGGAAACAAAAAGTCTCCTGTTTTTAGCTTTTTAGAAAATATCTAATCTTTTGCCACCCATTTCAGGAATCGGCGTGAACACAGGGAGCAGATGGTCTTTGGCCCCAGATCAGCTATCCTTTACTCTGAAGAACAGCTCGAGTGCAGGCAGTACCAAATATATATTGGTTGTACTAGAGCAGCATATATTTCTAGCAGTGCTCAGGAGTTCTAGCCCTTGAGGCTGTCATGCTAGGGTTTGTATTCACAAAGCAACATACACACACAACTAAGTCTGGTTTCGAGCCTGCCTCTCCTGAGACCTACTAGGATGTTCAGTGAAAGCTACTGTTCAGGTTATATCCACTCAATGCATTCAGTCATTAATCACACACATTACACCTCCGACTAAACTCCTTCACCCCCCTAGCCTTTTTGCTATTATGCCACAGAGGACAGGATTGTCATGCTCTACCAGAATAACCACCTGACAGGGATTTCTGTGCCTGGGACATCCATCTCTGTAGTTAAATAGTTCAGTGGCAGGTGGATCCCCCTGTTTAGGAATCAGACTTCTGCATGGCCTTCTCTGCACTCTAGTAACCAAGAAAACTCTGCTCCCCCAGCAACACTCACTGGACAGAGAAACACTGATCTTCTGCGGTGATGATGAACGCAGAGGCAGAGATTATATCACCTTCAACCATAGATGCATCCTTTCTTTCTTTCTTTCTTCTTGTGGCAAAGAGGCACTGCTTAATAGATAGGTGTTCTCCTCAGAAGACCCCCCAAGACCACAGCTGTCTGTGTAGATGCCTTCCAGAGTTCGGTGTTTTGTACAGCCTCACATTTCTTGCTTCCTTATATCACATGCTGTGATTATTATTTTTTTTTAGCTGCCCAAACTCCAGTAAGCTACAAATTAACTCTCAGCGGGGCAGACAGAGGAATTCAGGTAATACCAATGCATTCATTGTCCAGCATGGCTGAGAATAATTTTCATTTCTCAAGACCAAACATTGACAAGCGATCCGAAGCCAGACTCCACCAGGAGACCTTGAAGGCTGAGTCCTCTCTGCTTTGAAAACCAACTCCTCACATATTATGTTTGGCAGCGTCCAGTCTGCAGTGAATTAGTGAGAAGTTTCAAACTCAAGATCTTTTAGTTCAGTAAAAAGGTGCTTATCTTGGCAATACTACGGATGAACATTAGACGTCCTCCAGCAATCCCTGTTCTTATTTAAAACACGCTTCATTCCCAAGGAGTCCAAGACAATCCATGTAGAGAGCAACATCTGACAATTTCATATCACAGTTCTTTTGGGTCTCGGAAAGCAAACTATTAAGCCTCCTAGTTTACACACCTTGGCTCTGAGCCAAAGACTGTGTTTTGATCACTAAAAAGTTATTCCATACTAAAAAAAAAAAAATCATCTGAATGCATTATTTTGGAAATAGCTATGTTTGTACGGAATTAAGTTATTTTAAACACAGTAAAATTGTGGTTAGAGAGAGGTATAGTAAATTAAGCCTTGATACAGGATATTTTAATAAGTGAAATACAGCAAGAAATAAAAGCTATATTAATAGTTATTGGCACATTAGAAAGAAAAGTTGTACTGAAATTTTAGAGGTACAATTGTCTGGTCTTCCTTGTGAAACCAAGGAGAAAAAAGACAGGATTTCAGGTTGGATTCCTGATCAATCTCCAATTAATTCTTTAGCTTCCAATTTGGAACATTCACCTAAAAGCCAAAGACAAGCACAATACATAGGTGACAAGCTGTTTTTCCTCACTCATGCTGTACCAAACTCCCTAAAAGATAACTATGTTCATTCACAGTGCAAGTGATGAAGGTTCAGCTCCCACCTCTGCCTCACAGGATTTGATTCACTATACTGAGCTTATTCATTTCTTCTGGTTGAGCTACTGTGCATTATCAAAAGCCTCAGTAAGAACAATACCAGAGAAATTATCAGAAAATGTCTGTTCAGACAAGAAAAAGAAGTGTAACTTTATCATGTGTCCTAAGAAAAGGCCCTAGTCACGAAGCTGCTGGATAAGCAGGGAACAGCTACCCTAATCTGTTTTACAGATCTGCCCTTGACATTTTTTGATTTCTTAAATTAATCCCCCATAGCACCCCTACTTAGATTTGCTTTTAGATGAATCTAAACCATGTTTTCTGGCACCAGCCATTTACTGAAACTGTTTTGCCACACTCTGCCTAGAAGAAAACATGCAACCTCTTCTATCTCATCTCTTGCTGCTGTCTTCCTATAATAAATTTATTATTATATTTATTATTATACCCCTGCTCACCGATACTCTAAGACTCCCAGAAGAGACAGCAGCAGAGCTTGGCTGGCACATCCACTGATGAAAGGCTCTCCACATTTATAGCCATGACCAATTTTTTCCATTTGCAGATGGTTTCAGGCACATCCATACAGTCACTCTTCCTAGAAATGGGACCTTTCACAAGGCAACTGAACCAACTAATCTGCTGGCCTGGTGAGTGCAATTTGAAAATCCAGATTAGGTCCCTGAAGCTACCTACCTTGGCAGGGTGGCTGGGAATGGCAACAACTGAAATACACCTGGCTTAGTCCAGGAGCCCTGTAGCAAAAGCACAGGGCCACAAAGCAAGACATGCTAATTCCACTCCCACCTTTGCCACAAGTAATCGCACCAACCTAACGCTTCTCCTCCGCTCTCGTGACATACTTGGGACTACACACTTCAAAGAAGGAACCACCTCTACTACTTTGGGCATTGAAACAGAAGCAGATAGTGCCTGCCTAAGCACTACAAGACCCTTGTTTAGATGAGGTCAGTTACTTACCAGCCTCAGTATGTCCCAAAGCAATTCTGATACAATGGAACTCTTCCAAACATTGAAGGGATCTGCTGAGGGAAACAAAATGTGTGTGTTCTTCTATGCGTCACGCTGAATCAGCTTGATCTCCCCACACCCTTGAACATCCCACAAAAAACAGCAGGTGCTGCATGCCACCCCTCTGCAGTCAGATAAAGCATCACTAATGTATTTGCCACTTCCTAATTGAGCTCCTCCACTTAACCATCCAATTCTACCAAGGTCTTGCTGCTTCCCAGGAGCATACCTCATCCGGGCAAAGACAACAGCTCCAAATATCTTCTTGTCATTTGCATCAAGATTCAAGGGCAGCATTCAGTCCTTGGGATGTGTTAACCCACAGCTTACCAGTAACTATATCCATGATGCCAAAATGCTGCTCATACAGGCTTCCCTGATTATTTTACCACTTTTGCAACCAGTACAAAAGGTTTGTTGTTACTTACTCTCTCATCCATTTTGCATATAGCTTTTTGGAGGTTATGAGCTCTTCAACTGTTGGAACAGCGCTAGCCTCTGGCACTACTACAGAAGTCTGTGGGACATAACTGTGATGCTGACAACTGAAATTTCTTTGACCAATAACACTTCTTTCTACAGTTGACTGCCACAGCCAACATCTTGAGAAAGACTCTCATGTTCTGAAATAAGCTTTAGTAGAACTAGGAGGGCTACTCATTACATAAGGACTTTATAATCTGCATGAACATGTGAGAGGCCATCCCAGTGTAAAGGAAATATTAAGTACATGGCCACTGATTGTAATCAGTTTAGGATAAGGTTCTGCAACTTCTACATCGTCTTTACCTCTCAGATTTCCACTTCCAGCTGTGTTGGTCATAGACAAGTATCTTACTTTGTTAGTTTGGCAGTCCCAGAATATAGCAGTCGATATCTGCTTTTCAGACTTTGAAAGTAGCTCTGCCTGCCTCCCTTCGTCCCGCTTCAACTGGTTGAAATCTACTCCAGAAGCGACACACCAAACAAGCAGTTACATACAGTCTTTGTGGGTTTTCAGTTTGATTTTCATTCCAAGGCAGGGTGGGTGAAATGGTCTGGTGCCAGATTTGGTGCATTTCCAAGCTGATTCTGCACAGATTAACACTTCACTGGCTGCATACAAAGCCCATGAAAATAAACAAGAGCACAAGACGCTACTTTAACCTACTTTAGTCCGCTCACCCTCTTGTACCATGCTATTAGCTCAGCTGTAGTGACTGAGAGATGTTCTAACCACACTAGCACAAACGGCAGATCAGAATTGGAGTGCAGTGAGATGCCTCTCACCTGCTGCCCTGCCACAACCTTTGGGGACGACCTTGACTTGTCACCATATTGAAAATTCTTGGAAAACAAATACATTTTGGGTGAGGAGAAAGGGTGAAATATCAGAAGGATTACTGATGCATGGAAGACAGATAAAATCAGAAGTAAGCTCAGAGCTAGTGCCATTCTCCCCACACCATCAGTCAAAGCTCAAACTGCCCTAACAAATCTATGCATGATATAGCCCTGCTGCCCAAACTACCAAGGAGCAAGTCAGAAGGCTGTGGCACTCACCTCTGGGTACCACTGAGAGGTCAGCAAGAAGCTCTTCTGTCTGGGAGATGCACTGACTGTCCCAAACACCACAATGCACTGTGCAGCATCTCAGCATAGACTTGAGGCTTTATCTCCAGAATTAGGAAAGAAAGGAGTCATAGGCAAGTCAGAACAAGTCCAACAAGTCCCAGTGACAGAGGCTTACCGAGTAGCATGATTCCTCCTCTAAAACAATAACAATACACTTCTTTCATCACACCTTTCATCCAGGAATCCCAAAGCCTTTTCAGAGCATTAACTACACCCTGCAACACCCCAAATCAGAAGAGCCTTGAAAATTTTGCAAGGACGCAGGGTTTATTTCCTTCTTTGGTATAATTAAAAAACAAATCAGAAGTTATGGGCATGACCAACGCAGCAAATTTGCATGATCTAAAGTGACAATGATCAGTCCTAGGCCAGATATCAAGCTGCCTTAAATTGACATAGATTCAGTTGTATGTGTCTCAGCTCCCTTGAACTTCCTTGAAATTGATCATTTGGCTAGCCAAGAATTTGCCCCCCAATAACAACAGCTACATTCAAGTTTGTCATTCTTTTTTAACTCCTTTGAGATTAATTTTAATTGTGGCCACCTAGCCACACACACATTTCTGTCCTGGAAAAATTCTTCTAGGTCATAAACATTTGTGATATAAATATTTACAGGTTGTCTAGATAAGCATTTCTACTTGTGCTAGCTACAGCGAGTTAACTGTCAAGTCGAATTAACACAAGCACAAACTCTAACCTAAAGTAGCATTTCTCAAGCTTTCCTTGGGAACCCTTTTTTCAATTTTAAGTTTTCTAAGTAACACCAAACTTACTAGAAGATATACATGCCCACATAGCCTTATACACAGATTTGTTTCAGAAGGCAACTAAAGAAGTCAGAACATCACAAGATATGTGTGGCGCATTTTCTTTCATTTGCTGCAATAAACTTTCTAATATCTAGGGACTCTTTTTCTCCACCTTAATGACCTTCATGTGTCCCCTCTACAGCTCAGGGATCACCAGCTTAGTAACACACTGATGTGAATATATCTTACAAGGTGGAAGGAATAGCTCCAGCCATGTATCAAGTCCAGAGCCAAGTAACAGGAAGACTGCTTTTCTGGGAAGGCCACCTTCTTTTGAATGAAACACAGGTGAAAGATAAGACTCAGCTTCTCATAACTTGGATTCAGTCAATGCCTCAGCATAATGTGTTATGAAACACAATGAATACAGTTACTAATGATGCACATAATGTAATTGCTTCTCAATACCTCAACTGAAAGCTAAGTTGCCATGCCATATAGGAATGCTTCTATTGAGTCAGTCCAGACGTGCAAGAGAAATGCAGTCAGAAGCCTAGCTAGAGGGTCACAATTTCCACTGGTGAATTATCAAGTGTCACATGATTACATGACCTGTGTGTAGGTGGTGCAAAGACATATGCATTCCAGGCAGCCCATGAATCTCAGAGATAGAGCCCTTTCTTGTGACTCGATCATGGCATAGGTGGGAGAATGCATGACACTGAGGCTTCATGGCATTCTCTTAACAGTCTCACCTGCAGGCAGAAGAGCTGTTGCTGTCTAAAGAAAGAGGTTAAACTAAGGAGGCTTTCTAGGGCACTGAAAAGCTCTTCCATCCCTGGTTTCATGGCAGGAATGCTCCAAACTGATTAAGAATGTCATATTCCAGGTCAGTGCTCCTCTCTCTGCACAAGTTGTCTGTGTATCTTCTTGTAGTAACAATACTTCCCTGGGGCAAAAACCCCAGCTGACAAAAAGTGACAGGCAATAGCCATCAGTGGTTCAGTTACCAGGTACCTAACAGGTTTGGCTTCTGACTGCAGTGTGCTGATGTGCCAGCTGGTGCTACACTGACAAACTTAAAAAAATGCCTAGACAAGTTGGAAAATGCTGGGAAGGAGGCAGGAGTTGTGGTCAACCTGGGTATCACACAATAGAAAGAATAAATATTCTGGAGGTAGACCATAGGACGTCAGAGACCAGGAACCCCATCATAACACAGCTAGTGAGGGAGGCAAAGTCTCAATGCATGACTAAAGCAATAGAATAAGGAAGAGAGGCTCAGGTTCATCAGTGACCGGGGAAGCTTCTAGACCAGACTGAGCCTGGCAAAGGACTACCAGATTTCCACCTGAACTGAGAAGGAAATGGGATCTGCACTTCACATCAGGAAGTTCATACAGAAATTTCAAACTGACAAGTAGAAGAAAGCAGACCAGTGCACACAGGATGCACTGTTCTGAATCCTATGGTAGACATTGCAACCTCAAGTAAATAATAGGATAGAAGTTGACTTAAGTCAAATAGTAAACAAAAGTAGAAAAAAAAATGTCTGATATGAACAAGATACAGCAACAGAAAGTCAAAACAATGCTTTCTATGTTTCACAGAATTCTCTAAGATGGTAATGATGGCACAGACCCAGAATGCTTACCTTAAACAAGGACATGGACACAGCAGGTATAAAGGAAACATAGTGATAGGAAGGCAATGGAATGTGGAAGTCCCAGGGAACTAATATTTCCAATTATTTTAATCACTCTGAAGTAAAATGTGAAATTTTTACATTGAACACTCAGATAATACTAGATTTCTAGATGCTGTGAATAACTGTTTCAAGAACAGGCAGCTAGGAAACCCACAGAATGGGAAGCAAATCTTAATTCAGTCCTGACCAGTGCGCACAACTGGTTTATCATATTTCTGCCATGTACCTGAACTGTAACAGTATCAGGTTCAGCACTGCTACAGACCCCCAAAGCCAGAAGATCAACTACTGCCATGCTCAATTTCAAAAGACAGGAACCACACAAAGGTAGAAAAATCAATGAACCTAAAAGGGGAACTTTAAAGAACGGCATGTCTTCTTAAGACAGAGAGACTATTTCAAGACATCATCTTAGTCTCATAGCAAATGAATCCTGCCTATCAAAGAAAAAAAAGCTTTGAGGAAGCCTAAAGCTAAACTTAACGGCATTTAAAAAAAAAAAAAAAAAAAAAAAAAAGAACCATCTAGCTGATATTTCTTGGGATCAAAGTATCAGTACAAGAAACAGGGGGAAAGCCAACAACAAAGCGACCGAGGTCAGGTAGCACTCAGCCAGGGTGAAGGATGGCAAAACTGCATGATCGATGATGGTATGCAGCCTCTCACCCAAAACTGCTTCATTGCCAGAAGACCAAAGGAAATCTTTCCAAAAAAGCATTCTAAAGCAAGCATGGGGAACCTTTGACAGTGTAGTATTATATACAAAATGGCCACATTAACACAAGCAACTAAATAATATTAGTAATAATAAGCAGGTACTTCTATAAATACGCTGTATGGGGTAGAATCATCACAGCTTTTGTAAAGCAAAGGGCTGCCTTGCAAACCTACCTCAGTTCCTGAGCACGCCAACAGCTGGTACCTGAGGCAGATCTGATTGATAATGTCTGCTTGGATTTGCAAAAGAAAGTAAGACTTCTCATAAAAGCCTCTTAAAATATCTGAATCGTGATGGGATATAAAGGCTTGAGATGGAAAACCACTTAAGGGAGGAAACGCAGCAAATAAATTATAATAATTTTTGTGAAGCCAGGTCACTCTCACAAGAATCTCTGCTATATTCGTAAATGGTGTGACAATCATCCAATGATAACTGTATACTCATGACAATAAAGAGAAAAACTACAACATGTTGCAGACACATAATATTGAGATACTCTGTAGTAAAACAACAGATGAACTTCAGAATGAGAAAGTGTAAAGTCACACACACACACACAAAAAAAAAAAAAAACAGCCCTAACCTTACCTACTAAGTGTCAGGTGTTCAGTGGGTTATTTTCAGGAATAAGATTGAAGCAGAGTCTCTTATGAGAATAACTACTCAGGAGCACTCAACAAACAAGAGGAATGCTAGAAGGTACTTGTAAAGAGAACAGAAAAACAAAAAGGAAACAGACATATCATAACATTAATCTGCATTGTGCCTGTACCCTGAATACTGCATTAAATTCTGGTCTATTTGCCCATCTCAGAGCCAATACAGAGGTACCTAAAAAGGTCCCAAAAGAAGCAGCACAGCTGATCAAAGGAACAAATCAGTTTCTAAGCACAGGATGCCTGAATAGATCAGGATTCTGCAACCTGAAGAAGGTATGGAGGAAGGGATAGGGGTCTCAAATAATGAGTGGAGTAGTGAAAGTGAACAGGAAAACACTATTCACTGGTTTTTCACATACAATAACTAGGGGACTTGAAACAAGAGCACCAGGTTTAAAACAAGCACAAGAAGATACTGTCATATAATATACAGGCAATGTATGCGACTCCTTGCTGCAAGGTATGTAAAATATCATAGATTTTGCAGATTTGAAGGGAATAATCACTTTTCTGAAAGAAAATTCCACATAGAGCTCTTAAATATGATGATTTCACCTTTGTGATCCAAGAATTTCCTGTCTCAAATCACTGGAAGTTTAAAAAACACTCTCAGGAAGCACTGTAATCTGACTGTTATGTTCTCATCCTCACTAGGTGTCCTCCACTGACTACTGCACAAGTCTCTAGTCCATTTAGCTGCCAGACATTCCTTCACAGTAATAATGAAGTATTATTAATCCTGTGATAGAACAATTGCCAGCTTGGGATCAATGTTTTCCCCATCTGTCTCCTAAGCAAAATGTGGTCTGACCTGCCTAGTTAGATCAGTAGCCATAAGAAGGATGTATTGGTGTCTTTGCTCTTAGTTAAGGAACCATGGCAGCCCTCTCATCAGAACAGTTCAATTGGAAGGGTCCTACAATGACCATTGAAGCCCAACTGCCAAGAAACTATAGGCACCAGGTTTCTCAGCACTCAGCAGTGCATTCAGCTCAGGTTACAGAGGAAGTTTGTGCCTTGCAGCAGCATACGCTCCTGGCTACAGCTCACCCTATCTGTATGGTATTTATATCTGATAACACATCAGACTCCAGAACAGAGCTGTGGCCCCTCAGGTAAGATGAATGGTGTTCCTCTGATCTGAGAGCACCTAAAGGGGTATCAGAAAAGCAACAGC